TAGCTTTCAATGAAGCAGCTGGAAGCTGTGGGAGGGAGAGGAGGAGAATCAGCTTCCAGCTGCTTCATTGAAAGCCATATAGGAGATCGCTGCTTATCACCTCCTCCACCGCTGCACAGAACATACCTGATCGTTCTGTTTTCTTTCTGCCCCCCCACCGCCGCTGTGTTCTTCTCAGTGCCAAGACACTCCCTCCATCCTCTGCACCAATAGTAGAAGAGGGGAGAAAGGCTGGATCTGCTCTGCCTCCCCCTGAGCCCACCCACACTCCAGTCTGTGCAGCTTCAGAGGATGTGTGGGTGGGAAACTGAACACAGCAGCTGACAGCTCTGCTTCTGACAGTGATGTGAGTCCAACCTTCCTTCCCTCCTTCCTTCCACCCACCCCTCCCTTCCTTACACCCTTCCATTCCTTCCTTCCCCCCACCCCTCCTTCCCTTCTTTCCTTCCATCCACCCCTTACTTCCTCCTTCCACCACCCTTCCTTCCCTTCCTTCCACCCACCCCTTCCTTCTATCCACTCTTTCCTTCTTTCCACCTACCCACCCCTTCCTTCCATCCACCCACCCCTCCCTTCCTCCCTCCCTTCCATGTACCCCTTCCTTTCTTCCTTCTACCCACCCCTTCCTTAAACCCACCCCTCCCTTTCTTTCTTCCTTTCATCCACCACTTCCTTCCCTTCGTTCCCCCCACCCCTCCTTTCCTTCTATTCACCTCTTCCTTCCTTCTATCCACCCCTTCCTTGCTTCTATCCACCCCTTCCTTCCTTCTACCCACCCTTCCTTCCCTCCTTCCACTCACCCTTCCTTTCACCACCCCTCCCTTCCCTTCCTTCCACCCACCCCTTCCTTTCCTTCCTTCCACCCACCCCTTCCTTCTATCCACCCCTCCCTTCCTTCCACCACTCCCTTTCTTATACCCACCCATTCCTTCCTTCCTTCCATCCATCCACCTCTCCCTTCTATCCATCCACCTCTCCCTTCCTTCCTTCCACCCACCCCTTCCTTCCACCTCTTCCTTTCTTCAAGGGGGGGGCAGTAAAAATGCAGCTCAGCTGCGAGCTGAACCCCCCCCCCCCCAAGAAAAGAAAAATTTATAGCTGTGATATCTCTAATGTGCTTCTTATAGTTTAGTGACTAATGATATACTTTATATTCAAGATTAAAACTTACGAGTGATTTATACGATGAAAGTACTATATTTGCATTACAGTCTTTTTATACATGTAACACACTGCACTATTCCTGTTGGCAGGATGTTGATTGACCACAAGATGGCAGTATTTCAGTTTAGCCTTTACAGACTTGAGTATAGCAAAGCATTGTTGAACTTGTATGCTGAAGGCAGGACTGTTGCGTCCAGACAGGCTGAAAGCTGACTACATTTCCCATAAGAGCTGGCAAAAGGTTGGGGAGCCTATATAATCAAAAGCCCAGGAACTTCCTGGAGGGAGGAGAGCGACTGTGTGTGGGTGAAGACAGGGGCTGGACACTGGCGTGAGACTCAGAGGGCCCAAGCCAGATTGGGTTGCATCGGAGAGCTGGAGGGAAGGACTACAGACCACTGGTGTTGCTGACCAGCATGAAAGTCAACCCTGCAAGCAGGGAGATCGTGGATTTGTGACCAGTGTCATTTCACTGTCAGAGGAACCAAGAGAACAAGGGCCTCCCCTCCAACCAAGAGGCCGTTCTTCACACCATTAAAACTACAGACTTTGTGAGAGGGCTCCACAACCCAAATTGTCTTCAGTTACCAGAGATCCTGCTGTTTTCAGTTTAGTACACTTGCTGTTATTTCAGTTTAGTACACTTGCATCACAGTCTACCACTTGAAATATAGACTTCTTAGCCCAGTTCAGTACTGAGACCTAAAGCTTTAGAGTTTTCCCCCATTGCTCTGAATGCAAGACTCCTGCAGCACATGTGTCTTTGTGGACAGTGAAACTATTAATGCCTCATCTCCAATATATTATAGCTATAAAGTAACTTGCTTCATCAAGCCAATTCCCTACCTATTGGAATACAAATCCTCTACTATATAAATCCTTGCCTTCACTTACATCCACAAAGGGACCCTTTCTAGTACCGCTACCATCCGTCAAGGGGGAGGTTTGTGTCTGTTTTTCTGTAGGAAATCTTGCTTTTATATAAAAAGGGACCTCAACCCAGATGTGAACCAACTTAGGCGTGTAGAAGAGTTGTTTCTATAATTTGGGGAGTTACTAAAGGGGACATTATTATTACATATGCATCTGTAGAGTTTAACCCTGTCCCCAGCCATTGAGAGCCCAAAAATGAGTTTTCCCAATTTCCTGATAGCTTAATTCAGCTCACTTTGGGCAATATATCTCAGTGCAGGAATTAAAGTTTAAACTCTGGTCCTGCAGGGCATTTGTTTAAGGTGGTGCTGTGCATGATTATTTGGCTAAACTTTACAGAGTGTCTAACGTTTGGACATGATCACTGTTAATTTTTTTGGGCTTGCACTATTTATACCTTGACTTCAATACAATCAGATTATTAGTTCACTTTAAACTGTGTGATTATTTTGTGTTTCAAAACCAGAGGGTTCTCCTGGTTAAGGCATTATGTTGGTGTGCCTCCAAACCAGGCTCAGAACACACAGGGAAGTTGAACCCAAAATACTCAGCGTCTCTTAAGGGGGTAGTACTGCATCCCACAATGTATCCCAATACATCCCACAATTTTAAGTCTTATCTACTGCCTGACTTTAGGCTGATGACATGCACTGTCTACTAGCTCCTGACTGTGCAAAACAATATCAAATAGGCCCCTATTACATATGCAGACCTTCAGTCATGTTTTTTCAAAGAAAAAAAGGATAAAGTTTTTCATCAGTTATATTGGTTTTTCATCAGATTATAATAATTTTTCCAGCAGTTTTTTACATCCACTACCAATGTAAAAATGAAAGCAAGCACCGACCATTTGTTCTTTATATCCATTTTTGATCCATTCTATTTTTTAATGGAACCAAAATAGGGATTTGAACCAATTTTAAAAAATGTTGATGGATATGGATGTAATTGGATATTCAGCCATTTGCATCCGTTTTTCTATAGAGATGCATTAATGTCCATTTTTCATCCATCAATGAAAAACTTACAAACAGTCCGTATGTGTGAAAGCCTAGCTAATCAGTAGGAGTTTCCTTTGGCCACTGAGCATGCTGGGAGAGAGTATACATTTTTGAGAAGGTCAGGTGATCAGGGTCTTCCCACTCAGACCTTGGTCTGGTGTGGTTGTGTGAGGAACTGCTGTCCTGGGTAGGCCTGAGGCCTAAGGTCTAGCCATGTGCTTGAAGCTCTGCCAGAGAGAGCCTGTTGGGATGGAGACTTGAGATGAAGTACCAGAAGTTACTCTACCATAGATCGGGGAACTGTGAAGGGCCTGAGAAACAGTCAATAATCTGGTCTCATCCAGAGAATTTCTGCATTTCCTTGTGAGTTCTTTTTCAGTTGCTATAGGAGACAACTGTTGCTGCAGATTGCTTGTTACTGCTTAAAGTGGAACTTTAAGTGAAGATTAATAATGGGCAGACAGGCAGGATTTTTAAAGCAGAAGAGACATGCTGTGTCTCTTCTGCATTAAAACTATCTACCTGTCTGTCCACCCTGTACAGTGTGCCTCACATGTGCATCGCCCTGTACAAATTTGGGAATGCGGAATTTGACAGAACTCCTGCACAGGAGTAACGTCATCCCCGCCTGGCCAATGACATTGGTTGGAGTTCAGCCCAGTTGCCCCAAGGATGTCAGTGGCCAGGCAGGGATGATGTCACTCCAGCACAATACTGGAGGTCAGGGGGCACTACATTAGAGACCTTTTTTTCTGCCAAGTTCTGGCAGAAAAAATCCAGTATATTTGGAGCATAAATGCATACGCCCATGTGCATGAGGCCTAACAGTGTATGGTCAGCTTTACAATTACAGATTTCCTTCCCACCCTGTGACTGGACAGTGAAAAGAGAAGAAGCAGATTGGTGAGATTGTCTTTTATATCTGCCTAGAGTTGAGCTTAAATATCAAGGAAGCTGAAGTCATCTATAAAAATGAATAGTAAAAAAAAAACCAGTGAACTGGTTATGGACAAAGCCACCCCTACAATTTTTTTTGTAGGGTAGATTACCCACAAATCCTCTACCTGGAAGTGAGAATATAAAGTGGTAAAATGAACTATTACATCATAGGTCCCCTTCCCCACATTCGCTAGCCTCCTGAGCAATTGCATTAGCCTATGGTAATGCTAAGCTCTGGTATACATATGTCACATAACCTTAAAGTACATGTAAACTCCAAAATGAGTGATATTAGGTTTGCTAATGCACTACAACTGCCACTTTTTTAAAAAATGCTGTTTTACCTTTCTTCATCTTTGTTGCATCTCAGTTTTCGCATCTCTAATTTTTTGCAGTCACCTGACCAGATCAAATCTTGCATAAGCAAACTGGAATGCCTGGAGGATCAGGGACCATTACAAACATCAGTTGCCATCAGTGGCAATTCTGTGGTCATGCAACACTGTACGTGAACAAAATTTTTATCATTTTATTCACACAAATAGAGCTTTCTTTTGTTGGTATTTGATTACCACTGAGTTTTTTTTGTTTTTTTGTGATATAAGCAAAAAAATACCCTAAAAAAACCTATACTTTCTACATATTCAATAAAAAAAATAAAATAAAATTTCTTCATACATTTTGGCCAAAATGTATTCTGCTACATGTCTTTGGTAAAAAAAAAAAATCCCAATAAGTATATAGTAATTGGTGTGTCCAAAATTTATAGTGTCTACACACTATGGTATATACATTGTAATTTATGCAGCTGTGGCTCTATACTGGCAATGGTCAGCGACTTATAGTGTGACTGTGATTAGGTGCCGAGCAATTTGGTGCCAACAGACACTATCTAGTAGCATCACTAACTGACACTGACTTTGTTAGTGACACTAATACAGTAATCTGTGATAATACTGTACACTGACACTCAGGGGCGGACTGACCATTCGGAAACTCGGGCACTGCCCAAGGGCCCAGGGTCAGTAAGGGGCCCCATGAGATGCCCCTGGTACCTTTCATAGGCTTTTTTGGGTGTGGTTTGAGTGTGGGCAAGGACACAGGGGCCATGATCCCCTATTGCCCGGGGGCCCCATGAGTTGTCAGTCTGCCCCTGCTGACAATGTGCTAATGGCACTGGCTGGGAAGGAGTTGAAGGGGCAGTCAAGTTAATATGTGCCTAACAATGTGTAATGTGTGCTGCTTTTACTTTTATATCTGGATGTTTTTTTTACCCTGCTTTGCAGGGAAAAGAAACATTCAGGTCACTGATCAGTGTACAGAGCCCTGTTTGTAAACACAGGGCTCTGTGCTGTGATGGGAAACAGCCAATCAGCAGGTCTCAGCCATGAATCATTGGCTGAGGCCTGCTGACAAAACCGTGCTGTGTCTAACCACAGCGCGGTCAGCAGCGGGTACGTGCCCACAAACCAGGAAGAGCCCCACTGATGTACATATACGTGATCCGGCAGGGTGGCAAGTAGGTAATTTGAAACATTCAAGACATGCCATGGATAACTGCCACTGTTATTTAACTGAACTGCGAATCCATCAAATGGGTGGTGTTATAATTGATCACATATGCAGAACCATTGCAACTGCAGATCAAACAGAGGCTAAGATGGCAGCTTCCTTGGTTGTACAGGATAGGAGGGTTTAGTTCCAATTTAATAACCTCCCACAATTACTCTTACAGTCTCACAGATAACTGCATTCAAACCTGGTCTTCAGAACTTCTCCAAAAGTTACTTTTACTCTCTTATATATATATATATATATATATATATATATATATATATATATATATATTTATAATAATTTTTTAGATTTCTATAGCCATTTTCTCCATGATAACTTGGATTCAAAACGTTTTATTTACTGTTGGGGCAGATGGAGAGGCAGCAATCTTGGGTGCACTCAGTAGAATATCATTTTAGACAGCAGCCAATTAAACTACCAGCATGTCTGAGAGCACACCGAAAGGAAACCCATGCAAGCACAAGAACATGCACATTCCAGACAGATATTGTTTTCACTGAGTATCCAAAAGTAGACCACAGTGCTGCAAAGTAGATAAGCTAACTGCTAAGCCACACATTCCCATAAGCCATACAGCTTCACTATAGTAGTTATGAGGATGTGTCAATCAAAGACCAGTTTACCTTACACTTTCCCTGTCCCTTCATCTACCTAATATGAGGCTATCTTCCTCTGAATTCTGGTCATGCACATCCTCACGGACGTCAGATGATGAAACTAGTAGTAGGACGGGGTTTCTTTTGGATGTGACGTCTGGACGCTCCTCGTAGACTGTCGGCTGTGATATTGCGGTGAGCGAAGCTCGTTCCTGCTTTCTTGAGGCTGTCATTGCTGGTGTCGGCTAGACACCCTGTTTGTGAGTGCATTTCTGACGTTTTATTTAAGCATTTTGGTTTTAAACGTACTGCACCATGATTTCCTTTTATGATTCCCCGAACATGATCTATGGTATGGAGACGTGATGACTACCTGCTGTTAAGGCTGTTCCATATTGTGCTGATTGGCTGCTTGCAGTATATTGCTCCCAGTTTGGATTACTTCTGCTGATCATTGCTCCCAGAGCAAACGCTATCTTTGTTGATTTATAATCTGGTCAGCATGGAGCTCTGGTGAGTGTACCCATTTCATTCGGTGGTGGATTTTTTTTTTTTTTTTGCACGGTGTTTGATTTATACAAGATTTCAGAACTGTTTAATTACTTGTGTTGGTGGATGGACTTTTATATAATATTTTTTTTTATCACGGACATCATTATTTTAAACTAATAATTTTTGTATTTACTTATATTTAGCGCACTCTTTGATTTATTCACATTTGTAGTGTTGAAGGCTACTTCTTAGATCAAGGACCTCAATTCCAAATAAGGAGCTCAATCACACTAAGTACAGCAATATTTAGCTTTAAATGGCTGGACTGCAAAAATTGTACATGACATCTACCAGACAGTTTTATTATTCATGTAGTGCAAAATATCCTATGGAATACTTTCCACAAGACCGAAGAAGCAAACAATCACACAAAAAGTACTCTAGCATGGGATTTGTAAAGACATGTATACAGGAATGTTCTTCTGTCCCACCAATTCCTATTTTATCTGTGCTGTATGGAACTGCATCAGGTTGTTGTTGTTTTGATGTATGCTGACATCTAATGGTGTCCTTCCCATCCCTAATCCAGCTCATCAAATCACCTCAAAACCTTCTAAGACTAGACACACAGTTCTGGAGGCCCACATTGTGAGACCTCCAAATCCGAAGCCTTCACTCTGACTGAACCCACTGAACTGCTACTCCATTCTCTGCTCCAACACCTGAACTTCAAATATTGGATACCACCACCTCCAGCAATGGTATAGGGTCACTTTTCACAACAAGACCGGAAGGAACTGATATGTCAGGCCTTGTTAAGTACATGGCCTACAGAGAACTTATCAATACAGGCCTCATAAAGTTTGACAATCACCCAGGGAACTATTGAAGCTGGAGATACACCTTGACATAATTATTCAATGGCCTTAGCACCCTACCTATCAAAGAACTTTATTACCCACTTGCCGAACCGCCACAGTAGATATACTACGGTGGGGCGGCATGTGCAGGCACAATCAGATACATGTATATGTTTGTGCCTGCACAGGCTAAGGGGGGCACTATGCACCCATTGGGGCATGCAGTGCACCCCCCACGACTGCTGTGTCCAGAGGACATAGCAGATTGCGACTCTTACTACTGGGCTGCTTTGAGTCGCCTGGGGATCATATGATCGCATGATCACAATGTCAACAAAGCTGTTCTGAATGAATCTCATACATAACAGTTCTGCTTCTGATATTAGTGAGCTATGATTGGCCCACAGCTATCACATGGTACCTGGGCCAATCACAGCTCTCTGTGCAATGTGATTAGCTGTAGCCAATCACAGATTACTAATTATCACAGTTGTCATGAATGAAACTCATGCATGACAGTTCAAAGCATTGCTGGTACAATGATCTTTATTGTAACATCAATCAAAGAAATAAAAATAAATCCCTGATCACCTCCCAGAGTAGTACAGCGTTACTATAGTGACATTGAACTACTCTAATGAAAGTATGTAAAAAAAAATTATAAAAAAAGTTAAAAAAATATTTAAAACATTGAATAAAAAATAATTAAATTTTTTTTAACATACTGTCACCAGTGTCCCTGGTCACTGCCACACCAGTCATATGTTGATGCTGTACTGTACTGGTGACAATATGTAAAAAAAAATAGTGAAAAAAATGAATTTTTATTTAATTTCTTCATTTGCCAAAAAACTAAGATAACAAATTATAACTTCAAAAACCTCACCATGCCTCTTACTAAATACCTCAGACTGTCTACTTTCCAAAAACGGGGTAATTTGGGTGGTAATTATACTGCCCTAGCATTTTAAGAGCCTCAAGAAATTCGATAATCCATCAGTACATCAGGATTGATCAATTTCCAAATATATATCCCATAGTTTGTAGATGCAATAACTGTCACACAAACCAATTAATCTACACTTGTAGACATGTAGGAGAATACACTTTGGCCTGAATTTATGAAGAGATATAATTTTTTTATTTTTTTTATTCGATATGTTTTTATAGCAGAAAATAGAAAATACTGGGTTTTTGTTTTTACATTTTCTGACTTTTTTCATTTATATAATTAAAAATAAAAAAACCAGTAGTGATCAAATACCACCAAAATCTCTATTTTGTGTGAAAAAAAAGTATATACATTTCATTTGCGTACAGTGTCAGTTAAATTAGCACACTGCTGAATAGCAAAAAATGGCCTGGTCATGAAGGGGATAAAATCTTCTGGAGTTTAAGTGGTTACTCAGACGGCCCTCACTCATTGAACTTGTGTTAAAAAGACTTAAAACTATTCATATCCATGATTCAAAGGCCTTAATCTTGCATGTTAAAGATTACAGGAGATTTAGGGCAGCTCTGAAGTGATTGAACTTGCCTTATTTAAAAGATTACAGGACTTTATAAGTTTGTCCAGCTAGGACTTACAGAATTCCAGGAATGGAGTGATCTTCCTCATTAGCTTGAAATTGCCAAGGAAGACCCACATCTACCAGGTCTACCATAGACATTGTGCAATGTATGAACCCAGTCAAATTTACCCTATAATAACCATAAAAATGGACAACAGTTGTTCATGGTATAAGAAGGAACATCAAATCTCCTTTCCAGATTTATTTTTCTATTCAAAGTTCATCAAAGCTAAGGCTGATCCAAGCTTCTCCATTATTTTCTCTAGTATGCCTGAAGTTTCTAACCGTATTCTCTAGAATTACATTTATTGAATATTATGTGCAGCCCTTTGGTGATGTCAAGGGCCAGCGCTGAGGCACCTCACATTTTGTAAGTTGACAACCAACTCTCTGGGTACATTTAGACAAGCTGTGGCGTGGATGGATAAGACTTCTGGAAATCCACAGATGACATCAGCTGCCCTCACTTGAGGTGCCACTTCTTACTATTTCCCATAAGATACATGACACAACACATCTACTGTTGCTGATAGCAAGATAACCTACAGGTAGCGACAGTCGTAAAACAAGCAGGAGAAGACTAACGATACCTTGATAAGCAATCTTTTTAGGTAACCTGCTGCAAGGAAACTCCCCTTCAATAGATCCAGATTACTGATAAGCAAAGGGATCACTCTGAAGTTTTTGTAGATAAGAGAAGGGAGTCCATTTTCTGCTATATGACCTCCAGCCCTGCAGGCTGACCTGAACCACATCAAACCACATAGCAGCATAGGGGCATCTGCCAAAACAGGTCACTGAACATGGGCACTACACAGCTGGTACTCTAGCTGACCATACACCAATAAAATTTCATTTGAATGTTAATTTAGAATTTCTGACAAGAATCTCATCAGGGCATTCGATCTTGCCATCCAAGAGTAAACAAATTTTGTTTGAATCTCCCTACAATTTCATACAGACCTGCTACTTGAATGGAATCTCAGACATATTAAATAGGGTCCTTTTGTGCCTAGAACATGCACATTACAATATGTATGATTTTTCCTGAACAAAAACATCAGAGTTTGAAGCTCCTTCACTCTAGAAAAATGCTCTCTCCTGTTCCTCCAAATTTTCTCTTCAGTATGGTTGAAAACCCAGAACAATAGAGGGGAAATCTTTCAATGAGGGCGCTAGTTCTGGGAAGCCTGGTGACAACTAGGGATTCCCTCAGTTT